AAGACGGACGCCCGTGCAGCGCGATGGGCAGAGGAAGTCGTTCTTCTGGGGGAGGAAATGCGGCGGACTATCGTATGGATGGAGTGGAAGGCTGAATGGTGGCTATCTCAACCTGCTCGTCGTACCGACATCTCTGAAAGTCTCCGACACTCCCTCGACGCCTCCGCCTGTAAGCAAGCATCGATACTCCGTCGGCAAGTGCGCGGTTTTGCGGCGAAGTGGGTCCCAGTGCTCCTCAAACACAACCTCGGCAGCGACTGGGTAGGACCATACATCAAGTACGGCAAACCGCGTAAACGCAAGCTTGCTCAGGACAGGCTGCGGCTCAGCCTGGCTCAAGGTGCTGACGCCGGCGCCGTTGCTGCCGCCGTCGAACCCGGTCCCGCAACGGCCACTATTGCGGAAGCTGGTCCCGCCGACTTTGGACCTGCCGCTGTCGCTGCGGACGTCAACAATGTTCCGAACTCAGCTCGCGATGCCGCAGTCACTGACGACGCAGATTCTCGTCTTGTCTCATCCTCGCCAGCTTTGGTTTCCCAACACGATTTCGATTCCTTTGAGGACGACATCGACGACGACAACGTGGCCGATCCGGAGCAGCTTCTGCAAGATGCATGGGAGGGATACTTAGACGACTAGTGTATATATTACTTCAAATGTACATGTAACAGAGCACAAATGCGCATTCCGCTCATCTATAGGACTTAGAAGAATTCACAACTTAGAGCAGCGCACGCTTAGCGCCCTGTGGGAGGAAACCCGGCGGCTCGGGTTCTATGACACGTGGCGAGACTCGGTCAATGGGCGGTGGATGCTCAATATAGAAATCCGGCAGCCAGCACGTGTTATGCCAACTCAGGCCCAGGCACATGGCGATCTGCACTGCTTCGGCATCTCGGCGGCACTTTATCAAGCATGACGTAGACAAGTTGCACCAAGGAATGTCGGGCACACGGCGCGCAGTCACCTCAGGCACCCCATGTACGGACGCCTCTAAGGTGTATCTCTCCCACCTCATTTTTGCTCCCAAGAGGTGTTGTCGTCCGTAAATATGATGCATCCACGTATTGTGGACGACAATCCGACGACATATACATTGGACAATCCACGATCCATCGTTCGTGCAGAATACACGTCAGCTACAACGTTGCTCGTGGTCTTCTCTATATAGATGTGTTCATACCTAGTGCCCAAGTATCTTCTCTACGATGCACGCCTGTAAAGACAGGTTTCAGTATGCAAAGGACTTACTATGGAACGCCCATGTGGATTTCTGATAAGTTGGGGCGCATTGGGGCGGCCATATTGTACCTTCGCGGTGTTAGGGGTCCGATTGCGAAAGGTTGGTAGGTAGGTAGGTAGGTATATTTCCGGCGCAATTGTGCTCCCTTCATTTCCTTTGGCATAGACCGCACGAACTACCCACATGTTGTTTTGCAACTCGTACCTTCTCATAATGAAATTCTTCGTGCTTGCCATCCAACACGCGTCCATCCCGTACTACTGGATAGCATCCGGGCATCGATATCAACCGTCTGTTCATGCTGGCTTAGACAGCTGTATATTCCGAGCCGAGTGGGTGACGGAGAAACATCTCCGGTCACGAACATCTCGTGTGGACAGCCCTTCGCATATGTACGCGTGGATCGTCCACTAGGACTGCCCTTCGCACATGTACGTGTGTATTGTCCAGCAGGTCTTCCAGCAGCGTTATGGAATGCTGGAACATCCACTACATAACACTGTGGATAGCCATATATGTACGTGGATCGTCCAACAGCACTGCAAAATATACGATGGAATGTTGGAGCATCCACATTGAGCACAGTGGATACATCCTGTCCGTGTGGACTGTCCAACAGGACTTTTAGCAGAGTGATGGAAAGCTGGAGCATCCACCGTGGACATGGTGGACGACTCCCGTGTTGCCCATGTAGATTGTGGACGGTCCACACTACGTAACCCGCGGGGCTCTGCAGTGTGGACAATCCACCTCGTCGCCGGATGCATGGTATACGAAGCTGGATGATCCAACTCCAACTGCAGCGATGTCTCCCGCATTATGGATGATCCAGCGACGTTACCCACCTTGGCGAAGGTGGACGGTGCACATTTCTCATGCTGCGTCTCGCTGGGCTCAACGGGCTCAATGTAGGTCGTCCGTAAGATACATAAAAGTTTAGCACTACTACTGAAGTCTCGAGCGCTTCGGGCTATAAAACACATCGCCGGCGGTGTCGTACATACCTGAGAGTTCTGCGTAAGAACGTTAACATGGCACTGTAGAAGAACATCACTCACGTGAAGTCAGGGGGTCATCAAATGCATCTTCCGAATGCACCTCCGACGTAGACGGCAATGCAAACGGGATGGGACGCGGGACGGAACGCGCCAGGTTAAATCCCGCAGAGCCTCCCGTACCGATCATATCGGCCCTCCGATGGGCAACACCAAATCTAGATCGTGCTGTGGGCGTTGCTGGATCAGCTGTACTATCCGACATAGCGGGCAAATAGCGATCAGCTGCTGAAGCCGATGAGCTGGCACTTGGTGTTGATGTCAAACGCCGAGAGGCGGAGCTTGGGGAGCTGTAAATCAACGATGGAGTTGATGGTGCCGATGACCAGGGAAGATCAATCCACGCGTCGGAAGGCTGACCGCTAGTATGAAGATACATGTTCTCGACGCTTTCAATGACCGCTGCCAGAGCCTCGTTTGAATCGTCGTTGTCGGACAGATCGACTGGATTCCCTTCGACGTCAACATAGTCGTCCGGATCGTCCGGATCATCTGGGATGCAGTGATCGAATGCTGCCTCCTGTGAGTATGCGGGGTTAGACAACTCGGAGGACCAGAGCTCGGGTCCCGATGCAGAAGCGGGTGTCGATGCAGATGCCTGCATTTCATGCTGGATGCCTTCGGTTATCTCCTTTGACGTTGGGCCCCACGACCCGTCCCAAAGTTCACCACTGTCTATATCGCCGACTCTTCGGCGCCATGTCACAATCAGGCGAAGCAGTTCACCACGCCGCATCCGCAGTTGGTGCACAACTCCGTCCTCGCCATCTGATATGCCCATGTACGTTAGCATCGGAGAGACCATCGAATAACCAGCACTTTCCGTGAGACTTAATAGCATATTCAATCGCTTCCCACTCTGCCCGCGCCCATTCTTGCAAAATCGACCTCTCCTTTCTGATTCTCGACAGTTCCTCTTCGCATCGCCGAACCTCTAGCATCGCCCGAATTCCTTTCCTGACCTGCTCGTCCGCGAGCCAGAGAGGTGGCACTCCGTCCGTCGACGCCGTCTCATCGTCCAAGAGCCCGGTATCTTGCCAGATATTGTCGTCTACGTCCAGGGTCCATAGTTTGGTGAGGTCGATTTCATCGGGGACGACTGCACCCGGCGGTGCTTGCCCTTTCCGAACGAGTTCGCCCATTTCTCGACATTTGGCATTGTACAGGCGGGCATGCGACTGGATAGCTGGTTCGCGTCGCTGCACTGCTTGACTAGTGTGAGTGGACAATTTGCGGTCTGTACTGAGGCGATGAGCGGAAGAACAGCTCAATCGCGATTGTACTTGCCAGACGACTGCGTACGGATCGATCTTTTCATTTGGGCTAACTCGAACTTTCGCTGTCGGAGACGTTCACGTACACGGGTCTTCAACGCGAGCGCGTTCATTCGGACCTCAAGGAACTTGTTCTTGCGAACATCTGTGAGAGCGGCGACATTCTCGAGGCTCAGCTCGTCATAGTACTTCGTGCGTCTAAGTTGCACACGGGAACGGTCATCATTAAGCCGCTTGATGGTGGATGTCGTGGTAGGGTCCGCATTCCCGGTTAGAACTTTTCGTTCTTCCATGGCGATGTACTTGTCCAACATCTGGATTTGCTCGTCCATCCGCAGGATGGCATCGATTGCTTTCTCGCCCGCGTTCTTAGATTGACCTAAATCAAGCTTGTTTCATGTATCGCAACTGGGCTAGTACAGCGCTCACGTTTGATTGGCCTCGTCTGCGCTGCCTGCTGTGCAACCCACTGACCATCGAGTACTTCTAGGTCTACGTTGCACTTCCGAAGCTCCTCGTTAGCCTCAGCTAACCTGGCAAGGCATAGATTATGTTTCCTGGATAACCAATGACCCAGCGCACGTCTGTGAGTGGAGTCTAGGTGGGCAATCTGGGAGTCTAGAACATATAGGCGCTGATGATACTGCGCAAGGTCGGTGAGTGGCATTATCGTGTATTTGATGCATGAAACTCACTCCACTAACTCGCAGCACAGCGACGAGATGGTGGATTGCGCTCCAGAATCGCTCGCAACCCTCTCCATCGCAGAGACCGAATCCCTTGCATTTGCGGGGGTGATATACTAGCTGACAGGGCCATTGATGCCCATAAGCGTGAAAGACAGAGATTGCGAAGACGATGCGATTGCTGCATTCGGAAAGAAACTTCCATCTATAGCAGCTGCGGTGAAGCTGACATCCGATATCGTACAGGATACCCATGCGATAGGAGGTCGGGAGGTGCTGGAAAAGCTTCCTGAGGAGAGCGAGGGAATAGTGCTGGCGTTCACCAGCACTTCTCATATTTGCGATCCACAGTACGCGATCGTGTCGGCAAATCAAAGCCATAAGGCCGGTGTCTTCAAAGAAGTTCGTACTTGCCTTCTCACGTTGCTCGTCGGCAGCTTTGAAGGAAGATTCGCACCCATCGAGAACGGAATTGGGCACCCGAAGCGGACCTTCGCACTTGTCCTCCTCGACGTCAGGCTGCGTGGCCGACTCCGTGCTATCAACACCATGACGTCTCTTGCCTTTGCGCTTAGTTCGCGTCTTGTCTTCCGCGTCGGACTGGGAGGGGCGGCTGCCGCTCGATGACTTGCTTCGTAGCCGTGCCACCTCCTCTTCCATTTGCTTGATCTCCATATCCAATATAAATACCGAGTTTGGGTGATACCGTGGAGGATCCCGGCGAACGGGGCGTGCCTTGGGCTGCGAGCGGCATGATGGAGTCGAGTCCACATCCTTGTCCGATTTCTTCTCCGGACGGGGCGCCTGACGCTTCTGTGTGAAACAGGCATCGAGGCATGCTATAGCGTCAAATCTATGAGGATGTTTGAGCTTCATAAACACAGATGAGCATTGTCACTTACCCCTCAGCATCTGCGTCGTCGTGCGGCTTCCCAAAGCATAGGAAGCATCTGGATCTTAGATACTTGCTTGGCAGATTTCCATCCGCGTGTTCACCTGCGCGACCACTTTTCGGAGTCGAGCTGCCTGGAAGTCCTCGATGCGATTCGTCAAAAGGGTTTAGAGGTTGCGGGCGGTTGTTCGTTGCAGATGCACGAGGCTGCGATGAGGTTCCCTCCGCGGAGCCTGGAAGCCGAGTATCTGCGTCCTCGCTTGCGGCAGCTTCAAGGGTGGTAGATCTGTGAGATCGGGTAATTGTCGCTGAAAGTGAACCGGTTTGAAAGTAAGTACGCAAAAGGAATGTTTGCATGACATGCGCTCACTGGCTGTTTTCTCCATCTCCATCCTTCTCCGCGCATCATCGATTTTATTCTCTATCCTGTGCGCAACGCTGGCCGTCAGGTGGTTATACCACTGCAGTGCATTACCAAAGCGGCGCCGAAGAGAGTCCTAGCTTGAAAATCAGCTTCCTTTCCGCGAGTCGAGGATAAACCTTCAGCGTACCCGAGTACGCAGTTTATACTCCCGAACCCCGAGAAAACTCTCCAGTGTAGATGCCCAGGCAGTGACATTGGGTGCGATGTTCAAGAAGAGCGTCGAGACTAGTTCCAACATGTTGAGGTCGAATGCCAATGACGGCATGTGAGGCGCGCAAGGAAAAAGCCCCCGAAGTAGAAGGTGTTGTGCCACGGGTGTACAGTCACATAAAGATAAGTTGACCGTCTCGAGGCCTATTACACGATGTTCATTCGAGTAAGAACCGACAGAAGTACGCGTAGCTTACGATTGATATACACCCCAAGAATCTTCAGTGACCGCTTTTTGGCAGCTTCAGGGCATGAGCACGGTGATATACACGGTGGATTGAGCCGAAGGTTGTTGGTCCATGCTAAGTAGTCCAAGTAAGGCATCTCAAGGGCCGGAATCACGGTTTCCTGCCAGCGGCGAGACTGGTTGACCTTTTTACGGGCGTAGCGTTCCTTGTCTCGAGCAGGTTGCATCGGACCATCAAAGTCCATAGATAGCATTGAAAAGTTATGCTTGTGGGGGGTTTGCTCTTCATTGGCATCAGGAGGTGGCAAGCCATGGGATGTACTCTTCCTCTTGTAGTTCGACGGGTACTGAGCGTATGTGCGGCCATCCGGTAAAGCTATCACCGGGATCGGTGCACCGTCTTTGTGAGGCGGGAGGACATGGCGGGCAGTATAATGCGGTCCTTCGACCAAGCCCCGTTGCTGGAATCCTGGTTGGTTCGGATCCCGTAGTACACTGCGGGGTACTCGCATGCTTATTCTGGAAGACAGTGCGTAGCGTAGGCAAACGGATACGGTCCCTCAGTGGTAATAACCCGCGTCGGGCACGTCATATCTCATCCTGGATTATCCACGCTGTCCCTCGTCCGCAAGACATGTTCTCGTATCTTAGAGCTATCTACTACCAGTTGTGGTGCGCTGTCTGTCGTCGACAGTCATCAAACAGAAGGAATCAATGTAGGGAGTTCACACATTGTACGAAGAAGGTCGGGTGGCGACGACTGATGTAACAGAGCGGGCAGCACTCAAACCAGCGTATCAATGATCTCCGTGCGCACGTAGTTCGCTGAGCCCAAATGTATTACTTCTACAGTTGAGCGAGCCTGGGAGGGTCGAGGATAATGGATACGTGATGGGTAAACGAAAGGGTTGACGACGGCCTGCCGGAAGAAGAAGCCGAGATAAGAGGGAAAGGAGTGAAAATGAAGGGAAACGAATGGATATTATACGCACTGGACGGAGGTGGTGAGCTGCCCGAGGCTGTTGGTCGACACGAGCTCGCAGCCCTCGCCAAAGCAGTTGAGAGTCTTGACGGACTCGGTCGTCGTCGGGCTAGCCCATAACGTGAGCGCGCAATCGGTGGGGAGTGGCACGACAGGGCAATCTCACAGAGGGATGGCCGTAAGCTGGTTGGCGCTGTCCGTGAACGCGGCGACGCATTCGGATGTCGACGCGCCGGCGAAGCCTGCACAAATCGTCATCGTGAGCGGTTCGGCCGCCATCGTCGATGGCCTGTAGATGGCGGTACAGGTACGAGTGACGCCTAGGGTAAGGTATAGTCATAACCACACTCACATCTAACATGCGTGCACACCTTTCCTGTATCTTCCTATCCGATTCATGCGTAGGCAAGCAGCGCTGAAGTCCGGGCCCATCAGCGATCTTCGAGTCAACGCGAGACGAAGTAGAGGCAGGCTGATTCGGCAGCGGCAGATGATACCCACATCGATCGGGAGGACGAGGTAAGTTGGGGTCGAGGGCAAGGACCGCTGGTCCTCCATAAGCGGATGCATCACGTGATTAGCCGATAAGCCCTCGCGTCCCGCGCGATCGGCAACTCGCCGCTTGCCGCAACTGTGCCGATCGGCTTTCCATTAACACAAGAATTCTTACCTACCGGTATGTTTCCGTTTCCATTTATTCCGGTCGCGGTTTGAGATGCGTTTAGAAAGCACACTAGAAGAACAACCAGAATGTCGAAGAAAATCTTGCCCGTCTCTGGAGTTCGTGCGACTGGCAAGCCGCGCCCCAAGGTCGGTGATCCTTTTTTATGCTACTCGCAGGAACTAAGTAAGTTATACGAATGAAGAGAGCCTTTACCGGAGTTTGAAAATCTGAGATGAGAGATGCCCATTAAGGAAGTCGAAGCATGGGATGAGAGGTGGTGAGATAGTCGCATGTCATAGGCAGGGAATTTGAATTGGATCTGCCTTCAACGGAATGCATCGGTGCGTAGAGAGCGGTCGATCAGAAAGAATAGAACGAGTACCAAGGATTGTAAGTTGAGTGAAGACGAGGTGACCGGCAGAACAGGCACCCGGAGCTCGGGAGCATCAATGAACTCCGTATTTCCATACTACTCCAGCCTGGAGGCATCGCTTCTTCAGCTCGACAGGGCTCGGGAGGATCAAAGAGGATGAGGGCAATTAAGCTTCCTTCACGAAACCCTTCAGCTCAGAGATACGTTCAGCCGCATCCGGGGCGCCGCCAAAGCGGTGACGGGCTTCCATCTGGGGGCGGGGTAAACGTCTGGGTCGGAACGCGGGTAAGGGCGGCGCCAGTCGCAGATTCGATTCCGGAGGAGATGTCAGACGCCGTCTGAACTACATGTCTACTTCATACTATGTGCGAAACGTGGTTCAGTACTGTATAGAAAGTGTCTGATAGGAAAAAAAGGAATGTGTACCGGGTATCACAAGCCAGACACAGGAGGGCAACGCGAACGACGGCTGGAAGAGCATGCACGCTGAAGCTCGGAAGCACCGACGAACCCCGTGCCTGCATTGCGCACACTTCTCCTCCCCAAAGGCATCACCTCTTCAGTTCAACGGGCCCGGGAAGGGTGAAGGACAATGGGTATATTGCGAAGATGCACCGGGGTGAGCAGCGACGGGAAGCTTCCATGATGCTGGAGCATAGAGGTGGTTTACGTGCATACGTGCCTCTTCCAGCCTCGAGCAACTACCCCCGAGAATAACAATATGCAGGGCAAGCGCCGCTCGGGCCTAAGCGCGTCGATGTTCGGACTGTAGGCGCTGACCTCCCCTACCAGAGAAATTCGTCTTCAGCTTGACGGGCATGCGCGGGGGTGGAGAGGGTGAAAGGTGTGGTGGGTAGATAGGAAGCGGCGTGGATGATGGAACGGTTGGAGGCGCACAAGGCGCTATGTCCCAGCAGGATGAAACCGCGTCAAGGGAAGGTGGAGCAAAGCTTTGCGCATCCTGGAAGGAATGAAAGAGGGGTAGATGGGCGTCGAGCAGCGTGGGGCACGCTAGAGCGTGGAAATCGGGTCGCCAGCCTCCATGCTCACCTCCGTCTAGTCCTGAAGTCCCCTTCATCTCGATATATTGAGGAGGATGTATGCACGCCAAGCGGAAGTAAGGAGAGGTGGATGATGATGTCGCTTCTTCGGCACACATATACACGTTCGGATGGAACCTATGGCTGTCTCTTCTTCAACGCGGTGGGTTGGCACGAATACATGCGTATATGCCCTACGTAGGGCGGAGACGGCTGGCTGAGGGGAAAATGAACGGGTGAGCAAGAAAGCATTGCCATTTCAATGCGTACACACTGTTCAATGGACACCGAGACTGTTCCTTCTTTAACATTCTTCAACGCGCGTAGGTTGGTGCAGGTATTTGCGTTTCTGCCGAGCGTAGGGCAGAGACGGCTGGCTGGAGAAAACATGAACGGGTGAGCAAGAAAGCGTGGCTGACTGGGCATGCATATGTACCTTTCGATGGACACCGAGGCCGTCTTTTTCTAACATGGTGGATTGGTGTGGGTCTATGCCTCTCTGCCGAGTGCAGGGCGGAGACGGCTTGCTGGAGAGACAAAAGTGGGTGAGCAAGAAAGCGTCGCTAATTCAGCATGCATACACACCTTTCAGTGGCCACTGAGGCCATTCCTTCTTCAACACGTGTCGCTTAGTGTAGGTCTATGCATATCTGCGAGCATGGGGGAAAAGACCGCTGGAGAAGAGTTCAAAACGCTCAGTTGTCTGCTGTCTGACCAGGAATCGGGTTGAGATGAGCTAAGGCGTGGAACCGTTGATTGCACGAGCGGTCGGAGTCTCAATATGGATGCGCCTGACAAGCATTGCATGGACTTCACGGCCGAAGAGGACGGCTGAGTTAGATAGATGTAGTAGCTGTTATACTGCATGTACTTAGCTTAATACTTGCGGTGCATTGGCTTCGGCTCACTGGATCCCCGCCGAGATTGCAGACGTGCCACCCGTGCAAAATCGTGCAGCGCGGCTACCGGTGTTCCGCTTTCGGCCGCGGGACATCATACACCCAAGCTAAGCCTGAATTGTCAATCCGTAGTCCGCTCTCTTTCATACTCATAGGACGTGAGCATTGAGTGATTTTATCGAGAACACAGGATGCAAATATCAGAACTAGTAGCGAATCCACATCGCCAAGTTATGATCCCAATGCTTCAAGGTAACCTGCATCCCTTCGTTCTCCTCCTTCAGTCGCGCATTCTCCGCTCTGAGCTGGACATTCTCCGCCATGATGGCATATATGATATGGGGAGCAACGTCCCTTGGGAAGACTATTCAGTAGGTTTCAGCATCAGGTAAGTCCGATATGACGACTTAACATACCGTTACCGATATCTTTATAGCCGCCGGCAAGGATCGTGTCCTTGTCGTCGAGGGATGTGTTGGCTTTGGTATTCATAGCTGTATTGTGCATTCAAAATCTATCAGAAGTCAGGATGCAAGGTAGACTACTCACCCGTCTTGCCAGAGTGATGGATTCGTCTAAGGAGGATGCCCACGTTGTTGCTGTGCTGCACTGCTGTGACATAAGCCAGGGTGTGGCACCGACGAAATGATGACAAAGCATAGCCCAGAAGGGAAATACCCCCGTTACAACTGCACGTGCAAGGAGCCTTCGAGATTACCACAGCACAGAACTCAACGCTCATCGGCGACCTCTCCTGCCGTTGTTTCTCCTCTTCATCGGCTCCTACTTCTCTGTGACGTCCTCAGATTGATCGGTCTACTTCACCGGATTACGGCTGGTAGTCCTTGTCCGTGTAGGGCTCGCTGACTGGAATCACCTCGTCCTTCATCGCGAACCGAGTCGTGGCGCTCACTGAGGCGTGCACGCGCAGCGTCTCCCGGATCACGGCATCGAGGTAGGGTAGCGCGTTCAATTTTTCCATGGTCGGGGTGTCGGGGAAAGCAATTCCTCGCGGAGCTTGCATTGGACATCTTGGTTCTGAGTGAGCGCAAAGAGGGCCCAGGTGGTACCGGTTGACGTCGTTTCGTGGCCGGCGACCATGAACGTCGGGATCTCTGCATGCAGGTCAGTCAGATGAAGCAGGGCGAGTGATAAGATGAATTAAGGACGCATGGGAAAGGATGTCGTGGTCACTCAGACGTTGCTCTTCCGGAATGTCAACCGCCATGTTCGACTTGATCAGGAGACTGAGAAGATCACGTCCTGGTCAAGGCAATCTGAGTATGGGGACCAAGGTCGACCATGACGAGGGGAGCTACCTTGTACGTTGCCCTTCTCGACGTGCGCTCCGTGCTTCTCAGCACGGATAGCCGCCTTTCGCTCAGAGATGAGGGCATAGCCAATGCACTTCATCGTGTTCTGTGCATACTCGATAGTACGATCACGCTCGGTTGGCTGCCAAGGTACGATTAGCCAACCTTCGTCGTAAGGAGAGGGTCGTGGGACGCACGATCTTCCGCAAGATCGGGATGCGAGCCTGGAGGAGCGTCCAAAAGTGCGACCCCTCCGTCGCGCTGAACATGGTCGCCATCGCCTCGTTGAGCTCGTTTGGCTTTCCACCCTCGAGCGAGTCGAAGCTGTAGTTGAACTGGGCGAGGCCGATGATGTCCAGCGTCGCCTGACTGAGCATATCTGGTGCAATCCCTTCGAGTGCGACGAAGTGGGCAGTTGTCATATATGGGTGCTCAATTCCCATTTTAGGTGTGGCACGTGACGGCATTCGCCTGCCACATCTGCATTGATCGCGTCCTGTATCCTCGTATCCTAGAGGGTGAAGGCAGTAAAAAAATTCACAGACTGGCAATAGTATAGACCACACAATATCTTAGTATCAATTGTTTTGCCTTTATATTGAACTCAGTAGATCACATTTATATGTTTCACGCTATGGTGAAGGTAATGTGCCTATCGCAAATGGTGCAAGCAATAATCGCTATATTTAACAATGGAATACAGTTTCAACACATGCATACGTTACAAACCTGGCTCGGATCTATGTCAAGCTCAGCCGTTGTACTGATAGCGGCACACCAAATTGCCATGTATTTGCGAATCATTTCCATTATCAAAAATTTCGCTCATGATGAACTAGACTCTATGATGCGGCATCAATTAGGTATATGTACCGTAGACTAGATGTAGAAAATCAGGACTGTTAAAATCATAATTGATTGCACAGGAGCAGATCTTTGGAAACCCGATGAGAGCAACAGGGATGAAACTTTTTATAGCATGCCCTATAGCCACCATCCAGCCTGGATATTCTGCACGTATACTTTTGAAGGCATATAGAACAGTTCTGCAAGTTATTGTGAGGTATACACTAATTTTGCTCTCGCAGTGTCTTCAACTGGCCTGAACGCAACGATGTATCCATGTGAATGTACGTATGACTTGCATCGGTTGCGAAAAGTCGTCCGTTCGGGCTGATTCTTTGTGTGTCCCATATAGACGCCTATATAAGGACACCATTCGCGAGAAATGCACGAAAACGGTCGTTTGGCCTCACAATGAACAAAAACTCGTCGACGACCGCCTCAGGCACCGCTCTATTTTTGGCACACGCACGTCTCGTCTCAAGATCGTGCAGTTCTCGTGCCTAGAAATGAGTGGTTTCGCGACACAATCTCTTTGCATGATCTGATGACTGACTACCGCTGAAGAAACGTCCCGATTTACGCTTTTTCCGCGGTGGACTTTCGTCTCAACGCGCACAATTTGCTTCCGCGTCGGTAACTTCCGACGCGCGCAATTTGCTTCCGCCCATGCCAGCCAGCTTGCCCTTGTCAACAACGGACTGTAGCTCGATCGACTACATCGCGTAGTCCGATCAGAGTCGCGATGGTTTACTTGCAATGACATACACAATTGGATGAATGTACGTACTATTAGCAGGTCTACATGCATTGACAGCGCAAATCTATCTACACAGTACCTTCTTCCTCAGCACTCCCGGTGATTGTGATTGCAGACCAGTCCACAGCAGTACCCCAGTCAGCAGCTAAATCCTGCCGAACCTCAAACCTGCTGATAGGCGCAAGTCCCGTAAACGATACCCCATTCCACGACGAGCACAGACTCTCCCATGCGCCAAGAAGCTGCTGTTCAAGAAGTGAGTACACAAACTCGGTAAAGCCGACTCCAGCTCACGTCTTGTGTTGCTTGATTCTGCAGATTTGCGTCCTGCATTCCGCCGTGTGCCATTACACGCCGTAAGTACGCCTTGCAATCCAAGAATTTCTCGCTGTTGACATCACTGAACATGCGCTGCAGCCGATGGTAGTTATCGATATGCCAGGCAATGACGTCGGAAGCGCCGCATCTTCGAAACTTGAGATGATTTTGGAGGTAAAATACAACGTCCCAAGTCTGCGCATATTGGCTCTAACCCTCAGACGTTTAAGGCGACGGAGAACTTACTTCATCAGCGCGGATATCCAGCCAGCCGCGAAACGGACTGCTGGCTAATCTGTCGTCTACACCGAACATCAACGCAGCTACATTCACTCCACGTGGAAGCCCGAAGTCAGCAGGTCCCATGAGTGCGGAGCGGTTGGTACTCCCAATCGCTTCGACTTGCGACATCCTCCACAGATTATATGCCATGTCGAACCGCTCCACGACCTCCTGCAGATGCACTTCAGAAACGGGCGAAGACATTCATCCTGCAGCAATCACCTCCATATAGGGCTCGTCGGGCTTTAGGTCAGTGCTCGCACAAAGCCAAGCTAGGTATGTCGCTGCACTTGTGCCATACAGGATCTTCTCGCGATGATAGTTGACTATATGCGGCAGTATGATCGTTTCTCGTCGAGCCCTCGAACCACGTCCCACCATCAACAGCGAGATAAATACGCTCGTCTTTGTGCTGGTAAGTATCCAGTTGATATCGTGTCATTGAGAGAATACTGACCTCAGTGCATCTGCCTCGGTTCGTTGTGTATATAAGCTGTTTCAGCCTCTCAGGAGTCGGGAACTCCTGTAGATCGACTTCCTCCGGGTCGAGAAGATAACCAGGATAGTTCGTCAGCGACATGGCCAGCGTTCGAAGGTTTAGGAAAGCCCTGTCAAGGTGGGTGAGACGGGCATTGGGCTGAAATTGCGAGTCGCCCCGACGTTGTCGCGTTCGCCACTGCTGCCGGGTCTTCCCGTTGTTTTCGGCACGGAAAAACTATCCTATCAAGCAGCCTTGTATCACGATCACGTTGGAAACGGTAATTACTGCATGGTGCTATCGGGTAAGCTGAACATCATGGCCTGCGGAAACGATTTGATCGAAACATCCCCTTAGCCCCAAAATTGTATTCCCTCCGCAGCGTCACCTCGCGTAGCCCAGATTTGGTGAATATCCATCTCGAAAGGGATACCGACGGTGCGCGTCAGCGGCGTAAGCCGTTCTAGTGCCGTAATCTCAATCCCGGACCAACGTGTGTATAGCGCACAAAAACGAAGGGAAAGATCCTTTATCACCCGTCAGCTGGTAGAAAAAGCAGAAACAGTTCGAGCCAAACCGCCTGAGACAAGGGGACTTCGGTGAGATCAACTTCTCCGAGGGTGAGCACGCGTTTGAGGTACTGATCAGCGTTCACGGCGCAGGCCATCCGTAGCTGATGAAAGTTTGCCATGTGGTATTCCACGAAGGGGCTGTTTGCAAACGTGCCGGCTCCGAGTAGGCTGCCATTTATCATGTGCCGCAGTAACTCACGAGCCTAACGTGTAACCAGGATCAGAAGCAATGTCATACAGTGGACGTGTCCACTCGCCTCGGAAGAACGATCACTCCAATCCAGGAACCATGGGCTTCCCAGGAGCGGCTCGTATCGATCCCCGGTCGGCTCAGGATGTGAGGACCATGTCGTCTCGCGAACAAAGCCACGCGTATTGAATCCGGCGAAAGGGACCAGCTGATTCCGCGCGTATACGATGATAGGGAACGTTCGAGGGTTGCGAAACTGTCTGCCTGACCAACGCTCGTAAAGCACGGAGAATACCGATACGAGCCTCTGGATAAACAAATCAGCCAACACTGTTGACGTCCAACAAGCAAAAATGGGTGTCACGTCGTGGACTCGATGACCGGTAAGTCGAACTTCTCCCTGATAAAACACCACCCTCAGATACTGATCTGGTTTCGTGCCGAATAGCACCCAGTCTTGATGGAAGAACCACAGGTGCTGCGCCACGATATTGGTCAGCGGAGCATCATTGCTCGGTAGGTACGCCAGCTCTCGAGCAAAGACATGTGCCTGATTGAACATGTTAGATCGCTGATGAGCTTGTCACGATGACCTACCAGAATCTGGCGAGCGACGGCCAACTCTTGATAATTGCTCACGCGATCCTCCTCGCTGACGTTAACCTCCTTCATGCGTTCCAGCAATGCGTGCATTGTGGAGAGTGCAAGTTGCTTGAAGATGGTGGCAATTGCGATCGTGGAGATGGTGAGCGAACGAGCGAACAGACGTTAAATCTGGAACACGTAAAGGCCCGATCATCCCTTCGGGGTTGCTCGTATCTAGGGTTGCACAGGTATGAGCTCATCTGCATCAACAAATGCACTCTGATGGATTATCAGAGCATGCGATTGCTAATCGCAGAAAGTTTTCGCGGCTGCACCTGTCGCTATCGTCTCTTGGCCGGCGTCTGCGTGTGGGGTGGGCGTTCCACGTGCTCATGTACGAGCCCCTTGAGTGTTTGAACCGTGTTGGGCGTTCCGCGCTGCCCTGCTCGTTGATTTGGCGTGCCCAGCACTCAAGTCGTGAGTGCCAATGGTAAGTATGTAATTCTCGTCCCTATGTCCGCCTGCTGACCTACCTCTTCAGGCCGGCACTGAAGGGTCTGATGATATATCATCGACAACGCCGGCAAAAACAGATCGCGTAAAGGTGTGACTCCACGCGGTTCTTTGCACGAGTGCCGAAATGGCTTATCCTCTTCAGACTAGAAGTCATCAGCGGGAAGTCTCAGCGTTGCCGGGACCAACTCTGACCAGTGGTCGGCAGACTCGTTTGTCAAACCGACAGGTGGGCTTCATCGGTATGCTATGAGTCAGTACCACCGACCACGCACATGCAGAAACCGGACGCAAAGGAACAGGAGATCTTGAACGCAAAGAAAATCAAGCCGTCTTCCGAGGTTTGGTCGAAATTTGACAACACGAATGTGCCTTTGACACGAGTCCCCAGGTTGATTCCGCAAGGCCGAAACCTATTCGTGGAAAGGTAGCCAGGAGGGGCAAGGGTGCCAAGAGCACGGCCGGTGAAACGGCGGTAGGCCTTTCATTTGACTTCTTAGGGTTATGCTCGCATACTCAATGGATCCCGTCAGGCGTTGCAGACCAAAGATGGGGCATCGGCAAGTAGCAGCGCCGGGCCGCTGGCTATCAACACAGCGGTCCCATGCGAGCTGTCCGACCCTAATGGGGAGAAGGCGCGTGAGATCCCCGACAAGGACGATCCAACGGCTCCGCCTCCACCATCAGCCTCGCCTTCGCCTTCTCAGCCGCCACCACGACCCGAAGGCAACGACGGCGCTGATTCGCCTCCTCCTCCAACCCGCAAAGCGACAGCGAAGGGCAAGGATGCCGCCAACGGCGCCAACAAAAAGGTAAGACTCACCAGCGGATATTCAACCTTCACGAACTTAACATGCGATATCAGCTACCGCAAGGTCAGCGCGGAGCAGCGGTCGATAGCAGTGCCCAGCCGCTGGCTATCAACACAGCGGTCCCTAGCGAGCCGTCCGACCCTAATGGGGAGAAGGAGCGTGAGATCCCCGACAAGGACGATCCAACGGCTTCGCCTCCACCATCAGCCTCGCCTTCGCCTTCTCAGCCGCCACCACGACCCGAAGGCAACGACGGCGCTGATTTGCCTCCTCCTCCAACCCGCAAAGTGACAGCGAAGGGCAAGGATGCCGCCAACGGCGCCAACACAAAGGTAAGACTCACCAGCGTATATTCAACCTTCACGAACTTAACATGCGATATCAGCGAGCGCAAGGTCAGCGCAGAGCAGCGGCCAATAGCAGCGCCCAGACGTTGGCTATCGAGACGGCGGTCCCAAGCGAGCCGCTCGACCTATATGGGCGCAATGCATATGAGATCTACGACGACGACGATTTGTCAGCTTCGCCTCCGTCCTCAACGCGACCTACGGACTACTTGCCCCCGCCACGGATGGTAGGCAATGAAGGAAATGGCGCGTCGTATCTGCCGTATCTGCCAACTCCCCAAACTCCGCCACCTCACACCTACTATCGACCTACGAGCCCGGTTGAGCACGAAGACTTCACCGATGACCTTCACGACCCCCACCAGATGAGCACTGTATGTACTGCTGTGTCTATAGAGTATGCGAATCCGGAGCACTAACGTTTCTCAGAGCAGCTTCCATGGATCGGATGATTATGACTTGGACGTCCCTACCTATGCGACCGACATGCTAGATCTGTCGTACATGTTCCCTGCCCCGGAACTCACCCCAGAAAAGATAGCCCATCCGTTGGATTTCCAGGAAAGTTCTCCGATCTGGAGAACACATAACCAGACTCTGTACGATCCATATCGTGGCGTCATTCTGGAAGACGACAAGGAGGATGACGAGGAGCAGGAGCAGTACGAAAACGGAGACAACGAGAGGGAGATGGTGCCTGAGAGTGATGACGAGGAGGAGACTGATTCTGAGCTCCCCGATGAAGGGAAGGAGAACGATTCCGAGGGGAGCGAGCCTGAGGAGATTGGGGAGGAGAAGGAACTCGATTCTGACGAGAACGACGAGGAGAAGAACGGGGACGAGGAGGAGGACGGGGACAAGGAGGACGGGGACGAGGAGAAGAACGAAGACGAGGAGGACGGGGACGAGGACGACGGGGACAGGGACGAGGAGGATAGAGACGAGGAGAAGCGACACCACGAGAGGGTTCAGAGACGTGACAAGTTGCTGGATACGGGCGTAGTAGGGATTGGCAGCGAGGCTGATGGACACGAGGACGTAGGCAGGGAAGGCACGCTGAGGAACCAAGCGCCACATGTAAAGCGCTCACCTCGCAAGACAGCACGCATCGACTATAAAAGCCTATCCCGGGGTCAACCACCACGCACTAAGGATGACACACAGCATCCAAATCGCCAGGGAAGCAAAGCCAACCGGTCTGATGATGAAATCATGGAGTCCGAAGACTCTGGGGAAGATTTCCTGCCCGAACATGAGCACCGGTCGAAGAAGAAGGACGAGATGCTCCAGGAGGACGCGGACGCGTTGGACGATAGAGAGCTGGAGAGCGAAGCAGTCCCAGAAGATGACAAGACGCCGACTCGCAAGCGCAAGTCGAAGTCACGTCAGCCTGGGCACGCAAAGTCAAAGTTGGTGAAGGGAAGCCGCCCTGCTCGCCCTATGTCGAAGATGGCCCGTAAGTGTTCCGCAGCGAGGGTGTGGTTCTAGCCTGATCACATTGTAGCCGCCCACAACGAAGACAACCCGCCTGTGGATAACTCTGATTCACCTGTCGATGACATTGACGTGCCCGTGAACGACAACAACCGTGGGGATACACCAAAACAGGGAGGTGAGTACGACTAGTACAAGTATCAGCATTCTTGGCTACTGACGCGAGAGGGAAATGTCAGCCGCTTCTAAGGGCAAGAAACGTGCCGGCAAGTCGTCCTCCAAGCCTGGGCGGCTGAGCCAGGAAGACGAAAAGATGATCAAAGCCGAGGCAGAGCGCATTCAACTTTGGATATCCGAAACGGCAACAAGACTCGAGAAGCCGTTTGCAACTATCGCCAACATGCTGGGTCTGCCCGGTCTGAGCCTCCGTCGCGCGAAGAACCCTTGGTCTGTGTTTGAGGCCTGGTACGCCTACCATGCCCCTCATAAGAAAGGTGGTCCGTCTTTCCTGTCTGCCCTCATGTCGTTTCACTAACGAAAGTCGTTCAGAGGAGACTCCCGCGGACTTCAATAAACGCAAGAGCGAAGCATACCGAGACCTTCTCAAGGACGTGCCGGAGTCAAAGCGGGACGAAGTAATGAAGCCGTATATAGACTGGTACATCGACCGGCATAGGGCGTACCTCGAGCAGCTTGCGGCAAAAGGCAAGACCGGCGTTGAGGTTTCGCGAGTCGCAAACGAGTTTGCTACCTTGGTGAGTTTCGTAATCCACAGCGCAGACATATTCTCACAATCGGAATAGGCTCGCGGATATTACGTTTCGCATGGATATCACATCTCAGGTTCCGTGATCGACATCAGTCCCAGAGGGCGCGGCATGATATGGGTGGGGTCGCCTGAAGGCGAAGAGCTCAAGGTGATCCAGGAACCGGATCAGCTCGACTGGCTATCGAACCAAGGGGCGATGCTGAAGTGTGTACTTAAAGCTCGCCTTTCTGCGCCTATACATGACTTACAGATGTTGCGCAGATGTGTGAAACTTCGTCGCGAAGGGAAGGCCGCTCCGGAAATACCCAGCCAAGGAAACAGCCACGACTTCAAAGCGGCGCCGAGGAACGTTAGAGCGGACGGAAAAATCGAAGGACTGCGAGACTACCAAGTCCGCATCTTCACTGATGTCTTCAAGTGGAAACTCAGTCAGCCACGTTATCTATATCTTGCCTGAGGCTTACTAACGGTGACGATCAGGGAGGGCAAATGTAGCATTGCCTGGAACTGATATGGAATGGCAGGGCCTCCTCAATCGCATGTATCACGAAAAGATCCGATTTGTCGACTTCCATCCCAACGCTGTATGGATCGAAAAGAAGGGGTCGTACGAGTATCATCCGAAGGCAGCAGGGAACGGCCGGAGCACGAGGGAGATGGTAGCGCCATTCATGCAAAGTCCCAACGGTGCAGGCGTCAAATTCGATATACAACACTGGTCCGATCGTGAGTGAATATATATTTATGGAACGAACTGTCGATGTTCATTCGCGCCATACAGAGGAGAAGGCTTTGCCACTCGAGGATCAGGGCGAGGTACCACTCGTGCTTTGCTGGGTTGAAAACGAGGACAAGGCGATCGTCGACGGCAAGACGATCATAATACACAACTGGGTCAAGCAGATGGTGAAATACCGTGTCGCATCCACGTCCGCATGGTACCAGGACCAAGGGAGACTCAATTGGCCAGCCGAGGACGCCGACGGGAATGAAAAATCGGCCGCTGAGCCTGGCCCGTCCAAGAAGCGACGTCGATTAACCAGCCGTGTAAAAGAGACGTCAGGAGAAACGTCAGCAACGCAGCCTCCAGTGCGCGATGCCATCGATAGGGATGTTCAAGCCGATTATGAGCAGGACTGGGACTCGGTAGGCGACGATCTCAACTGATATCCCCTGGCCTAACAATCACCGAAATATTAGATGGGACAACCATGGCCAGGCTTTGTAGATCCCGCAGGACGAAGCTACGATGACGATTACATATATAATGGCGCAGGATACAGTCACGACGTCAATCGTTACCCTTCGGAAACAATCGAGGACGGCATCTATGAAGACACCGACGACGTCCAGGGTGCCGTTCCTTATACAGGAGAGTACGACGACAACAGCTCTCACGCCGAGCATGGGACCTTCGGCCCCGTTCTTGACGATCCGCAGACGACAGGTAGCCCAGACGAGTGGCAACATCTACCTGTGGAGCCTACAAGGCCCGCAATGTCCGAAACGCTGGCGTATCCCGGTCGCAGCCGATTGGACAATCAGCCTCCCAGTCGCAAAGCACCGCAGGCAGGCTCGAGCCGAGGCTATGACCACGCGTACACACGATCCGGCATGTTAGATTCGTCAGAGCCAACGTACCTGCAACCAGAATATCACACAATGCTGGTGTCATCACAGCCCGATCGCTTGGGATCAGCAACGCGGCCGGCACACCCGCCGATGCAGGCGCCGCCGATGATGAGGGGTGCGCCTGGCGCGTCAAGGTTCTCTTTGGTGCATCCCGAACGGCCGCCGATGACAACAGGCGAACCCAGTGCATCCAGGTTCGCCTCGGTGCATCCCGAGCGTCTACCAGCGCAGGGGCCGCCAACGACGAGAGGTGGGCCCAGCGCATCGAGGTTTGCCTCGGTGCAACCTGAGCGTCCGCCGGTACAGGGGCCGCCGATGTCCAGAAGCACACCGCAGCCTGACTATTCCTCAAGGTACGCTTCGATGCAACACGAGCGTCCGCCAGCGCAGGCGCTGCCCGAGCGTCAGTCCACGCAGGGACCGCCAACGACAAGAGGGGGGTCCAACGCGTCGACGTTCGCCTCGGTGCAACCTGAGCGTCCACCAGCGCAGGGGCCTCCGACGACGAGAGGAGCACGGCCGACGACAAGAGGGAGGCCCAACGCGTCGATGTTCAACTCGGTGCAACCCGAGCGTCTACAAGTGCAGGGGCCGCCAACGACGAGAGGTGGGCCCAGCGCATCGAGGTTCGCCTCGGTACAACCCGAGCGTCCGCCGGTACAGGGGCCGCCGATGTCCAGAAGCACACCGCAGCCCGACCATCCCTCAAGGTATGCTTCGATGCAACACGAACGTCCTCCAGCGCAGGCGCTGCCCGAACGTCAGTCGATGCAGGGGCCGCCGACGACAAGAGGGGGGTCCAACGCATCGAGGTTCGCCTCGGTGCAACCCGAGCGTCCACCAGCGCAGGGGCCTCCGACAATGAGAGGAGCACCGCAACCCGGCCACCCGTCAAGGTTTTCTTCGATGCAGCCCGAGCGTCCGCCAGTGCAGGCGCTGCCCATGACAAGAGGCGCACCACAACCCGAGCGTCAGTTGCTGCAAGCCCCACCGATGGCAATGGGCGCATTTGGTGCATCGAGGTCCGCATCGATGCAAGCTGAGTATCGGCCGTTGCAGCCATCGATGGCAAGGGGTGCATCCGGCGCACCGAATTTGCCGCGTGTCGTCGAAGACCCTCGGGAGCCGACCGATCACAAACGCCCTCGCCCTCGCCCTCGCCCTAGGAAAAGGAAAGCTGATGAAATAGCGACATCTGCGCGCGAGGAGGGGTAGAACCGCATATATACCGTACAGATATGTATCGACGTCATGTAGTCAAAACGTCTTCTATGTTTTAGAGAATTCGCAAACAAGGGAGCAGCGAGTATTGAGTATTGACAAAGGGCCGGTATGTCAACTAATTTGTGAAGAAGGATCGGATAGTACGGCGATTGGCGAAGTGGGATAATGGACCGTCCATCCCTGTATGCGTTCAACTGTTACCTCTGGATGATCCACATCGGCTTCCGTGTACAGTGCCGGCTGGACGATCCACGAAAGGAATACCTGAATGAAGGATCGTCCAGACTGACGAGAACGCGTGACGTTGGACAGTCCACTCCTGCAAGAGTAAGTGGCCTGTGATGGACCGTCCACAATGCGCACTGGCGGCTGGCTGGACCGTCCACACCGCGCACTCCGCGCGCGGTGGACGACCCACGATTACGATTCAACATCATGGACCGTCCATCACCAATAGTGGACTGCCCATGGGATCTGCAGACAGGTGGTTGGACATTCCATATATTGTCCGCTGTTCGATCAGCAATCCTGGATCGTCCATCGTCCGACCACCGGCAAACGGTGGGTGGTACACTGTTGTCCGAAATCCTTGGCTACACAGACAGCCCATCGAATGCGATCTAATAGCGTGGGCGGGAAGCAAACTTCATTTGATCATGATCGTAAACAGGTGAGAAAGCAGATCAGCCAAAGTTCGATGAATATGTTTACAAACTCAGCAGGAGATGCGGCAGAATAATATGACCTAGGAATACAAACAGCCGGGCCAACTTACTCTATCCAATATGATCCACGAGTATCCGTAACTTTTGCAGGTATATAGTATGTAGGATCATTCCATGGCCGGGTCTCGTGCGGTGCAACAATCGTCATTCTGCGGTGCGGCAACCCTACGCTATCAGGACCACGCCGGATATATACCAAGCCTGCACTCCGCTGCAGGACCCCAGATACCATCGAACGTTCCCATGGATGGTCCACGCATGATGAGAAGGGCCATACTGAAGTGGACGATTCCATGCCTGCAGTGGTCATAGGTGGGCGTTTCCAAACGCGCAGCCATCAAAATCCTGAAAACGTGGACGACAACACCTCTTGGAAGCAAAAATTAGGTGGGAGAGATACACCTTAGAGGTGTCCGTACATGGGGTGCCTGAGGTGGCGCAGTATGCTACGCAGATGCTAAGCAAGCGGACTGAAGGGTGCGCCGCCAGGGACGTGCAGGACACGCCGGGCGCCCTAAGCGAGCGTCGGGCAGGAACTATTGCGGGTGCTAAGCGAGCGTCGGGCGGGAAGGGCGCCCTAAGCGAGCGTCGGGCACGAAGAGCGCGGGCGCTAAGCGAGCGTCGGGCACGAAGAGCGCGGGCGCTAAGCGAGCGTCGGGCGGGAAGAGC